AATTCTATGAATTAACTATTCACAAGCAAATATATTAGATATATTTCAAAGTGGAAATTTCAATATTCTATTCTGTATATCGTAGATTCCTAATTATCATTTGGAAGTACGTCTATTTGCTTCAGCAAATAGCCATCGAACGTTGGAAGTTCGTTGGTAGAAGCTTATGAATATGGAACGCGTATTCACGAGATATTAATTAGTAAACCAATTTTGTTAATCATACACGTTCGTGCCTGACAATTCTGTTGGTCTATTGGCATACGTAAACTCCGACCATTTAATCGAAAGGCGAAACCAGTTTATCGCACTGTCACATTAGAACAAATTTTATTTTATATAAATTCCGTGTCAAATATATTACATCGGTTTGTAAATCGTTTGTCATGTAAGCGCAAAAGCTTCCGAGTTTTCTTTCTTTCATTCATCTATCAATCATCGTTCTTATAACGAATGTGCACGAAAGTAATCGAAAATCACGATATAATAATATCAGGCTTAATAAACACATAAACTTTCACATTTTATGTACACACAAATGTTACATAAAATATATATGATACTTTATTGTAAAATATTTTAATTTTTTACAAAGAATTTTTTTCTAAGAAATTGAAATGTATACTGCGATGTAGTAAAACATTGTAATTACATAATGAAATGGTTTATTATCTTTATAACAGATATTAAATTTCGCAACTGCAACACTAGAAAATTATAGCTAAAGGTGCAGGATATTTAAATAACGTTGCACGACTTCGTCGATATTACTTTCGCAAAAAAATCAGCCAACTGTATTTCTTCAGTGCCAGGCGTTGAAATGTGTGTTCTCCAAGAATGAAAGTTTTCCGCTTTGTTCAAGAGCGCAAATAAAATGTTCCGCATACTCTTCGTTCGGCCGCAATGTTGCTCGTAAATCCTTCAAAAATTTAACGCGAGACGCGGCCGGAGTGCCATTTCGCGTGCCGAGTGCCGCAGGTGCCGGCTCTCTTTCCGCGATGCCGCAAGGTAGAAGGAACAAAGGTAGGCAGAGAGAAATGAGGCGTCTCGTCCGCGTAGTCACCTGGGTTTCTTATTTACATTAATTACACCCGGAGAAGTTTCTATCTCGGCCGAGAGAAGACAGGAGGAGGCGCGCAGCGCGCGGTTCGTTGCTTGTTTTGCAGCGGCGGCAATTATTTTCGCAGTCGGTAAATATGATTAATCGCGAGGGATTAAAGATGAAACAAGTCCCGACGTCGACTAAAACAAATTGTGCTCGTTGAAATATCGAGCGGCGCGTGCTCACGTTTACATTGTTTATCTTTACACAGCGTCCTCCGAGGAAGTGCATATAAGTAAAGAAAATTTAATTAAATTAATTGAAATTACGTGAAATGGGATACACAGGCACGGATTTCAACTCGTAGGTTCGAAATGACGCACATTTGCGGGTCGTTTATAGATTGAATTACATAACATTAAATGCAATTCTATCAGAATTTAGGAGATATTTAGAGTACCCATTAAATTTCATCAAAGTTTAATTAAATTTGATTATAGAAATTTATTTATATCGACTTTAATGAAATATCAAGTACGAACCTGAAACGCGAATTAAAATTTAAAATAATAATAAACAACATGTAGTATGTAACGTGAAAATACATCGCAAAAATAATTCGTTGGATATTTTCGTAATTTATTTCGCGACTTTTGTCATTACTTTAAAAATTGCATATATGTATATTTTTCTAACGTTTTTAAGTAACTGAGGTTTCTTGTTCTCATTATTTAGAGAAATTATAATTACTACATAAATATCGTAGTATAAAAAATGTTTAATATAACTTGATATAAACTTGAGATATCTTTCTAAAATGTAGAATATTATTATTGGAATTGGATACCATCTTTAATGGCAATCTAGGATCACTATTCCAGGCTCTGCTTTATGTGATGCACACATACATTCAAAATATTACATATAAATTAATTAAAATAATTGCTGTAACCAGACGAAATCATCAAAGGTATCACTCCTATAGAAATGGCATGTATCTTTTGTAATTACTCACCACAATAATTAATTAGTATTAAATATTATCCCAGTATAAAAATGTTTTCTGTTGCATTATACATATTATAAATCAATAAAGTTTATTGTTTTCCAAAACCATTGCATTAGTTGATTTGCATTCGTGACCAGTAATATTTAGAAAATTATTCCTTCAATCTATTCTTTATCTTTCCCTATTTATACATATCGCAAATTTTTTTGTTATAAGTTTATATATATATATATATATATATATATAAGGTTTTGTAATGTTACGAAATTAAATATAATAATTAATTTCAGATTCGAGGAAATGCTAATATTTCAACAAATAGACATTGAACAAGAACAGATTAAGTTGTGTTTCATACATAAAGTAAATAACATTTAACGCAAAAAAATTATTTAGCTCTGTCTCTTCACGTACGACAAATGTAACGTTTTCACTCCACTTACTACCCATTTTACTAGCTTTCATTTTACTATTTATCTGTCTATTTTCGTTTGATACCTTGTTCATCATACAGTCAAGTACCTCGATGCTCACACGGGTATAAACGGCCGAAATTCCCAGATACCTTTTATTTCTCAAACGTCCGTAAAAGTTGGCACCAAACGATTTCGCTGCAGATTGAATTTTCCTGGCGGCCGTGGTAGTTGGCCGCGACCATTGTCACTGCAGATTGCATTGAACCGAATCAATGTAGTCACACATATTGGTGGACTCGAGCTGCAATAGCTTAAAAAAAAGTTGTCACATCTAGCGGCGGAAATTATCTGACTGGAATAAAGAATTGACTTCCACGAGAATATAAATAAAAAGTAAACCAGATGTACGACCAACAACAAATTTTTACTATTCACATTAAATTTATATATTTTTGATCATTAAGATTCGTGCTAATGTTTCAAAATTGCTGGTTATACTTCTCTTTAATTTTTTTATTTATATTCTTATATAAGTGTCAATTCTTCATTCTAAACTGTATCGTTATTTTACAAACGTATAATAATCCTCTGACTTTTAAATAAATAATTAAATATATTATATAAGTATATAATTATATAATTTAAATAATGAATTATATAAGTATATAATT